ACAGTCGCAATTTTTTCGCCTTCATCACGTCCATCAAACGGTGGCTCGCCTCGCCATCAACAAATATTTTGATGCGAGTGTCGCCAACTCTCTCTTCAACCAGCACAGGGCGATCAACCGGTTCACCCCCCTTATTCAACCAGGAATGGTCGATAGCCCAAATCGGCACTATAACCTGGTGGGGGTGGTGGCGTTTGGGCGACGCAGTCAAGTCTATAGGTGGCCCATCTACTACTGACGATCTCCATTTCTAAACTGCTTCTTGTCGTTAGGTAAGTTCTTCTTCAGCTGTGGGCACTCCCTCACCATGTGACCCGGCCGGTTGCCTTGGAAGTACGTCCCCGAAAATACTCGGGCTGCAAACGCGTCCACGCCGTTAATTGATGTGTGTTGGGGCTGGCCTCGATAGCGATCTCCCTCCCGAAAACCCGCTCTCGTGAGTCCACATCGTGCGTCCAGCGCGTCTTCTATGCGAACGATTTCGTTGAAAGTCTCCGGGGCTCGCAGGACGATCTCTTGCTGAATCTCTGGCTTGAGACCACCCACGTAGCGATCGATTTTCTCGTCTTCGCTAAGCCCTCCGATTTGGTCGCAGATTGCCAGAAACGACGCCGTGTATTATTGGACAAAGCCCATTTGTCTCCATATCCGAAGCTTTGTGCGAGCATTTTCGCGCATGGATATGTGCTCGAATTTGCCCTTCAACACTTCGCCCCACGCTTTCCACGTGTGGATCGTGGCCAATCCAAAGATTGGTTCTGCCTTCGCCGTTGATGAACTCAGCTCCCCATTTGCCGCCCGTTGATTCCCTGCCGGAGCTTCTCGCTCGTCTAGATGCATGCGCCACCAGTCGAGTGCTGGTCCCCTCAGCAACAACACAGCCAAGTTGACACGTGATGCATTGTCATTAGTACTTGCTGCCGTGAAGAAGATTTCCATGGCGAACAGCCGCCCCCTCACTGTAGTTGTCCTGTCGTTTGGGTTGAATGGTGGGGGCCAGGGCTGACGTTTCAAAAAAAGGCACTCTGATTTTACCCCCAAAAAAATTCCGCAAGTCTGAAGGACCATTTTCCAAATTTTGCCTACTCTGAAATCTCGGTATTCAAAATTTGACTAGTCTGAAATACCCAAGGTTCAAAATGTCGAATCAGAGTCGACGCGTCTAAGTTGACGGAAAAATAAGGGCCGTAAATGATTACGTAGATTGACGGAGTCTGTACACACACACGTGGCCCCTTATCTAATGTGGCTCTGGGTGGGAACCCGACACCTGTTCAATCCCCCAAGTTCAATTTCCCCCACGAAGTTCTCCACTTCCGAGTGTGCAAGTATGATGACGTGCAAAACTTCGTGGGGGCTGGTTCATTTCCCCCATAAATTTCATACATTCGTGGGATATTAACGCACACATTCCAAAGCACTCGCGTTCTACAAATGCCGAGGCCGAGCTTGTTGTGACGTGTCGCAAAGCCGACATTGTGAAGGCGTGTTCTTACGCGACACGTTGTCCGGCAACTTCACTTCATTCAAGATTTTGCCCGTCAGATTCGCCAGTCAATTACGAATTGACACGAGTTAGCGTGTTCCTTATGTCACGTAGACACACGCCCTGAAGCACGTCGAATCTAAATTCTGTCTACAAGCTGTCCTTGCAAGTATGTGATTGGTTGTCGAGGGACTTGTGTCAGCCCCTGAGAGAACTTCAAAAAGAAAAAATAAAGGCGAAAGGGCTGTGGAAATAATGTCCCTAAAAATGGAAGACTTAGCCGATTTTCGTGGGTATGTGGGGGTGTGAGAGGGGTGCCTCTAGAGCAGGACTTCAACAAATTTTATGGGTTGCTGGGTGTGCGGGGGAACTGTCTCTGGCCGAAATTTATAGGTTGCTGGGTGTGTGAGAGGACTTGACTCTGGTGGCTGGGAACTTAGTCGATTTTTTTGGGTTCAGGGCAGGTAGGTGCAGTATGTCAGTCTCAGTCACATAGTCAGTCTTTTGTGGGTGTTGGGGGTGTGAGAGGGGTGTCTCTAGAACAGGACTTCAACAATTTTTACGCGCTGCTGGTTGTGATGGGGGGAGCTGTCTCTGGCTGCTAGGACTTAGCCAGATTTTATAGGTTGCGGGGCGGGGTGTGTGAAAGGACTTGACTCTGGCCGTTGGGGATTTGGACGAAAAAATTTGGGTGAGGGCAGGTAGGTATGTTTGTCTCAGGGTCCGTACGCCCTGTGCTCTGAAAACTCAGTATCCACAAACTGCCAAGTCTGAGATTCTCAGGATTCAAAAACATATAACTCTGAAGGGTTCAGCATTCAGAAATTGGCAAGTCTGAAAAATCAGGATCGGCAAAAAAATAGGTCTGAAATTTCAGACAATCAGACTAAAATAGTCTGATAAAATCAGCCCTGATGGGGGCATCGGAGGCTTGATTTTAATGGTCGACCGCGTCTCGCTGTGGACTTCTTCAACTGCTTCAGGTGTTGCCGACGCCCTCGCTTCGCTCGTATCATCTTCGTCTCGGGTAACAGGCCGCCCCTGACGTGTTTCACCCCGCGTCTGGCGAAGCGACGAGTTTTCGTTGTGCGGCGTCTGTACTTCGCTTCCCAGCGACTCGAACTTATCGACGAGTTGTTGAAGGTGGGCTTGCAATGTCGTCACTGTAGCCGCCCTGGCTTGCAACTCTTCAAACTCCTCTTGAGTTATGTTCTTAATACTACAACGGGCAGAGGTTTCCGGCGTTGTAGTCATGCTGGAAATTTTACCTCACAGATCTGAGGGGGCACACGATTTTAGTTGTAGTCATCTGAGGAGTTTTAACGATCTCACCTACCAACTGCTGGCCAACCCTCTATTCTGTCGGGTCCTCTCCCGATATAAATGGACTACTCTACGAAGGACATAGCGGGCAGGAACGGGGCTCTGATACCAGCTGTTATGAATTAATCCGAGTAATAACAAATAGTGTAATAAACGAGTCATGATTAAAGAGTGTTAATACAAATGAGGGTCGAGGCATTTATAGGCACGAACAAACCTAGCCGAGAACCTTGCGAACAGGTTGGAGGAGATTCGGTTGGCGAAAGCCACGGAAGCGCTGCTCGTCGTGGTTTGGGTTCGCGAAATTGTTCGGGATCGAAGAAGTTGGCCGAGCCTGGACTTCTGAGAGTCGAGGGCAAACGCGCTGTAGTCGAGCCCAGTAAGGAAAAAGGAATTTCCTTACAGGGTGGGTTACAAAGCGTCCGCATATGTTACCTGAAAAACTTTTTTCGTTAAGTACCCCTTCACGAGAGTGACTTAGTACCATAATGATTCCCTCAAAGCACACTTTGGTTGTGGTGCGGTGCCCACCTTTGGTTTCCTGTGTGCGACACATAGGCCGTCTCAGCCAACAACACGGATTGTCGACGCAGCTGACTCAGGTACACCGGTACATCATTCTAGCACAGAGTTGTGCCGGTTCGGTTGCTCAGGCCGCAGCCCATAGCAACAATCTCAGGTATGATAGGGACCATTGCGGCAATGGGCTAGTACCGCCTGCTCAATCTCCTGCACCCTTTGAAGCAATCTCCGCACGCCCTTTCGTGCCGAGAAGACAGGATATTTCCAGCTGAGGTGGCGCACGCCCTTGCGTGCATTGACGACAAGATATTTCCAGCTGAGTTGGCGGTCAGCACTCCTAGTACCGCCTGCTCAGTCTCCTGCACCCCAGTGCGACCATCGCAGGCACGTTGGCAAATTTCGCCACAAGACTCGTCGGCCAAACTACGGCTGTCCGAAAGCTCTGACGCCGAGTCATCCGCTTGTTGTACTCCGCTAAAGCCGGACGCGTTTTAAGCAGCTTTTGAGAAAGTCCAGCACGGTCGACTGACGCGAGAACCGGCGCAAAGCAGACGTCCGCGATTGACGCTTCCCTTCCCGCCAAGAAAACGTTGTTGGGATTTGACAGAGTCCGTTCCGCTTCGTCAAGAAGCGCCTCCAGCTGACGGAGCGACGTCGTCGCCGCGTGTCCCGCCGCGATCGTCGCTTCCAGCGTCTGGTACCGCGCCAGCAAAGCGCCGTACGCGCTGACGAGATCCGGATTGCGCGCCATGCGCTCGACGCACACGCGGCGGCGAAAGCGCGTGATGGACTGCGCCGCGCTGAGAGACATCTTGGAGTAGGCTAGCGCCTCCTCGTCCCACGCTGCGACGCGCGTCAGCCACGTGGCAGCGGCGTCGTGGTCAACAATCGAGCCCCCCATTGGCTGGCCGATGCTGTCGAAGAACCTGCGAATGGATCAAACAGAAGAGGTGAATTATGCTCTTGAAACAATCAATGCTCCGCGCAACTCTTTCTGACATATAACAAGACGGAATGCAGAGCCGCCAAATTGGAAACGATGACGCCAATGGAATTTGGGAAACAGGAGGGGGGAGATCAATTGACCGGAATCTCAAGGCGAGATATAAGTACGTAAAGAACAACGTTGTTCTTTTATTTCTACGATTAACAGACCGTCCGTGACGGACCTGAGGATCTCGTTGGTATCCGTGACAACGCTGCTCCCGTGAACCAGCACAGGGACTGTGCCTTTTGGATTTATGTGCAGGAACCACGGCTCGAGGTTTGACGCTCCGACTAAGTCCACGTGGCACAGCCGGCAAGGGAGGCCCTTCTCTTCTAGCATCATTCTGACTTTGTGGCACTCGAAGGAGCTACTGCTGTAGTATAAGTCCATGACTTGTCAATCTGCGTTCTGTGCTGTAACTCTATGACACGGGATACGGAAAGAGCTGTACGGAGTGTGTCCAGCGATTATTTGTTGGAGTCGAATGCCAGCTACGATGTTGAAGACAGTTTGAGTTGGAGCTCATAAGCTTGAAGGGAGGAATGAGAGGGGCAGCGATGCGTTTATCTCTTTGGGTTTGTAGTCAGAAGAGGAGCCGAGGGTGAGGGAATGATGCTGATGGGGGCTCATGGGGTGAACCTTGAATCGAAATGTGGACTTAATCTTGCCCCCAGCTGGTCCGTTTGGGCGACGCGGCGAAGCAATGAGCGCGACTCGCAAAAAAATGTACATTGTACCCGTTAAGCGACTCGTCTTTTTGGCTGTTGATCTCTGCAGGGGTTCGAGGTCTACCATGGAGCTCCTTCAAGTTACATAAACTACATCATCAGCATGTAGAGAACCACAATGCCTCCAAGCGTAACGAAGAAATCAATATAGAATTAAGGCGCAAGACAAGGCCAATGGCTGGGAGGTGACCAGGCTGGCCTTGCATGCTTGTCACCTTTGACCAATTAGAGCAAGAAGCTCACCGCGAATAAATTTCTCCCCATTCAGCACATGACACCTGCCGGCGGCAAAACCACCCCCTCACAAGACACAAAAGTATCCTACAGGTTGAGTTCCACGCTAGCAGGCTAAAGTTTCCAGGCATCCCTTCAGCCAATTAAAGGCGTCAGCAGAGCTCCATAAAGATACGCTAGGTATACGAAAGCAACGAATCTGAGTGCGTCTTTGCTGACCAACCTTACCCCCGAACCCCCGCTGGCCCCTTTTCATCCAATAAATATCGAGGACCTGGCCAGGTGGTGTGGTTGGTGGTGCCTCCTCCAACATCTCCTCGCTCTCCAACCGTGGGATTGAGTTACCCGCCAAATGAGCGGATCTTCTACTGGGACCACCTGACCGCGGCTCGCCGCCGTGGCGTGGCTTGGTTGCTCGCTCCAGATCGCGCTGGACACTCCCGACGGGAACGGACCAAGCAGCAGCATGCAGATGATCCACCTGCCCAAGCCACACTGGTTCGCATCGCACTCGTTTGCTCGTTGCAGCCTCACCACCTGCTGCTCCCAGCGAGTATGCGATCACCTCACCTAGTCACCTCGCCTCACCTCACACCTCATCTCACCTCGCCTGCTCGGTGATCACGATTCACGAGCCATGCTACCGTGGCAGTTTGCTTCAGATAAGAACCAATCCCAAGCCCTGATCCCTTGCGTCACGCGGTTAGGTACCCATTCCACGAATCCTCACCCTTCCCTCTCCCTCTCCTCCACTTGTCCGCCTTAGGGTGCTTCTGTGCCGCCATCTCTCCCCTCCGTTTCCTCCACACCTTCTTTTCTCCCCCTGGCCAGTTTTATTGCCCAAGTCTCACTGTCGATTGCTCATATTAGACTGAGATCAACCCATCCCTCGCATCCGCTTCCGTATTCCGTCAGTTCGACCTAGTTCTCGCTTCCTCGTTTTTTTTATTTGCTTTGTCAGCTAAAATTCTTCGCCTCTATGGATCAAATGTCGACCTTCACGATGGATCAAAGCTCAGAACCGTGCTCGTCATGGAAGTCGAGCTCGAGGGAGAATTTCGGCGACTATGTGCTCATGGTAGGTCCTAAAGGCTTAGGTCTACCATGTGTCCAGGCCAAGTCCGTTTCCGCAATCAGCCGCCGACGCTCTGTTGTTAACTTTAAGCTTCTCCGTTTTGACGTAACTGCGATCCATTTAGGACCTTCGACGTTTACTCATATTTAAGGGAACCTGACTCTCGCGTGCTCTCTTTCTCTCTCCTCCAAACCGGCACCCCTCTTTCTCTCCCCTACCCTTTCTCTCACTCTCTCCTTCATCGCTCACCCTCCCGCACCCTCCACCTGTCACTCACTCTCACACACTCAATTGTGTCCCCCCCCCTTCCTTGTCCCTGTCCCTTCAGGTCCAATGCCTGATAGAGCGATGCCTACTCATCGACTTGAGTCGGGACGAATGTGTGTACACCCTAGCAAGACGGGCCAGAATCGACCCCGCAGTTACGCTTGCAGGTGAGAGGTCAAACAATATGTCTCTTGGACACACGTTTCCACGAATCAATCCTTTGACGTGAAAGCTCCAAATGTCAGGGATTTTCTTTCCAGCGAGTTCATCTTCGACTGAGTGATTTGAACCCCGTCTCTGCTGTTCTGTTCTGTGCAGTTTGGAAGGGGCTTGAGAAGCAGAACCCTGCATTTTTCGAGGAGTACTCGCGTCGGCCACACAACAGCGAGACTCGCAAGGCCAGACGTGCTCAGCAGGCGGCGCATCAACAACTGCAATCCGCTAAGATGCTTCAGTACCTAGACGCCTGGCAATTGCCTTGTAACGGAACCTGAGCTTCAACCAATCCCTGGAACTAATCACCTCGAATGGTCCAGTTGGGGGCGAATCCTCCTTCTGGCGTGATGCTGGCCTGCTGAGGAGCTCTGCACGCCGAGTGAAGCATCCTGTTTTCAAGAGCCACTGACGATCCCAGCATGCTGCATGCAGCTGGTGCTGCTACCGCCATTGCTGCGGCAATGCAGCAGAACGGACTGATCTTGGATGAGCCCCTATCATTGGCTAGGTACACGTGAGAACGCAGGTCAAGCAGGAATCGCAGTAGAGAGTTGGCTTATGTCATTTGTACATAATTTGAGTGTGACTTCGTGTGAGTGGTAGTTTGAGATAGGATCTTACTGATGGCAAGGATTGTTTTCAATGTTCAGCATGAGCCAGTAGTTCAGGCTTGGAATTAGTAAACTAGAGGGTTGACAATATGAGGCACGTTAGGCTAGTTTTATTTTATTTTTACTCCGGTTTACAGGTTTCGCCTTACAAGAACACTTACTCAACCGAGACCTTAGGTCGCGGTACGCTGAGCACCAACAGGCAGGTCAAATGGACTTTTAGAGAGTTTGAACACGGTAGGGCGTGTTGCAGTAAAAAATGGTGTGTTACAGTGTGGTGAAAATTCGGCCGTTGGAATGCCCGATGTAGTGTACCGCGCCCTTTGGTTGATTGGTTGGTATGGGTTTTTGGCTGGGCCACCACCACACCACCAACCACCACCCATCAGCCGCATTTGCTCCGCCACAGAGCGACTGTTCCCGCCAGCGCGTAGCGATCTCGTTACTAAACTGTCGCTGGAGTTCGCTTTCTTCGCTTTTTCGCATATACTCGGACAGCCACCAGCTTAGGGAATGTCCAGCGAGTACGTTCACAGTACACAGATCACGGTTCAGGAGGATCTATCGCGATCAGGAGCGGTTTTCGCACTTCACCACGTTGGAACTCTGAAAACCATATTGAACCGTATAAAGTGAATTGTAAACGTACGCGCTGGACACGCCCTTACGCCATTTGTAGGAGCCACGAAACCTCCACCAACAAACCAGACCAGACCAGTTACCAGATTCCAGATTCTTAGCCAAGTTCTAGAAACAAACCGCTCAGGCAGGCACAAGCAGCTCCAGTGAGGAAGGAGGAATCTGGGATTAGGTCGGGAAGTACGTTCTGAGACCGACCTTCCTCTCCGATGCGCGGTAATTAATCTGTCCGCGAAAGCAGTTATTATCGGCATGGGGGTCTGGAATCTTCTGGTCCCTCTTATTTTCGTGGCCGCTACGACAGCAGGCCACGCCTTTCCTGCTCTCGCCGAAACGAAGCGGGATGACGAGGCGGTAACCGGGGCAGATCTGACGAGCTCGTTACACTCCAACATTCTGGGATGGATTCACGGCCGTCAGCTAAACGGGATCCAGCCGGTTTCCGTCAAGCGTAGCGTTTTCCGTCGGTTGCTCCAAGTCTCTGACGAAGACGGCGACGGCTCCGCGGATTCTGGCGGGGGTGGCGGAGATGTTTCGGAAGGAACGCGGAAGAAGCGCAAGGGGAAGAAGAAGAAGCGGAAAGGCCGCAAGAGCAAGAAGACTGGGAGCAAGAAAACGAGCAAGAAGGGGAAGCTTCGTCGACAGAACGCGATGCCGCGAAGATCCGAGGAGCTTCAGCAGGTGATTAAGGAGGTGACGTCACAGTTGGGGGAAGACGAAGAGGGGGGGGATCGTGTCGCGGGCAAGGCGGACGGCGATGAGGAGACCCGCGGAGGGGGACCGGACGAGGGAAACGGCGGGGGAGACGCGGAGACGAATGCGGAGAGCAATGCGGAGAGGAATGCGGAGAGGAATGATGAGGAGACGACTTCGCGAGCGCGAGAAAGCGAGGCGGAGGAAGGGGAAGGCGGAAGAGAGCGCGCGGAGGGCGGGGGACACGCGGAAGGCGGAGAGTTGCCGGGCGAGGCGGAGGAGAAGCGAGAGACATCCGCGGCTGCGGAGGAGGGGGAGGAAGGGGAGGGTGAGGACGGGGGAGGCAAGCGCGGAGTTGTAGCCCCCCCTGCGGACGATGACGAAGCGGCTGAGCGGAAGGCGGAAAAGGCGGAGGCGGCGGAAGAGGATGGCGGAGAGGGGGAGAGCCGGGGGGAGAGCGCAGGAGGCGAGGAGGGAGAGGGGGAAGGTAAAGGGGAAGGGAAGAGGGGAGAGGAGGATGGGGAGGGCGCGAAGGGCGAGGAGGGAGAGGAGGCGAATAGGCCGAGGAAGGAGAGGAAGGAGGATGAGGAAGAGGGGGAGGGGGACGGGGAGGAGCGGCGGGTGAAGAAAGAAACGGAGGGCATTCCGGAGGCAGACGATGCCCCGCGCGCGGACAGGGAGGAGGATGACTTGGAAAGGGGGGATGATGACGTGCCGAAGCGGACGCGCGGAAGGGGAAAGGAGGGGGAGGATGCGGAGGGCGGAGACTTGCTTGTGGGAGGCGAGGGGAAGAGGGGGAAGACGGGGGAAGATGCGGAGGAGGGGGGAGATGACGAGGGGGGGAAGGGAGGGGTGGAGGGTAAAGAGGGAAAGGGTGGGGATGGTGAGGAGGAGGGTGATATTGGAGTGAGGGAGAAGAACGTGAGGGAGGAGGAGGGAGGGGAGGAGGATGGAGAAGGGAAGGGGAAGGGAAGCGGCGAGGAGGGAGAGGAGGATCGGGAGGAGATTGAAGAGAGGAAAAGGACGAGGCATGCGGAGGAGGATGAGAGTGAGGAGAGGAAGGAGGGAGGGGAGGGGATGGAGGGAGGGGAGGGGAAGGAGGGAGGGGAGGGTGAAGAAGGGGGTAGACTGCGCAGAAAGGCAGCAGGCGATGAGGAGAGGGAGGAGGGCGAGGAGGGGATCAGGGTACGAGAGAAGAATGTGGAGGAAGAGGGGGAGGGGCAGGGGGAGGGAGGTGAGGAGGGAGAAGAGCGGGTGAGGAAGAGAGCGAAGGGGAAGAAAAAGAAGGGCAAGAAGGAGAGGAGAGGGAAGGAGAAGAGGGGGGAGAAGAAGAGGGGGCGGAAGGAGAGGCTTGTGGACGAGGGGGAGGATTTAGGGGAGAGGGAGATCATCCAAAAGAGGGTCAGCACGGGGGATGGTGATGGCGGTGATGGTGGTGGCAGCGGCGAAAGCAACGAGATGGAGAAGTCAGAGGAGATGGAGGACGAGAAGGAGGAGCAGGAGGGGAGGGGGGAAGGCGGGGCAGATGCAGCGCAGGATAACAACGCAGCAGTCGCTGACAGCGGCTCGACAAACGCTGGAGGAGGGTCTGCTACTGATGGAGGCTCGGCCGGCGCAGCCAACACAGCCGGCGGAGCTGATGCAACCGACTCAGGCGATGCAGGCGACGCTGCTGCTGCTGCTGCTGCTGCAGGCGATGCAGGCGACTCAGCTGACGCAGCAGCAGCGGGGCTGCAGGAGGAGATGGAGGTGGCCGCAGTGACGCCCGGCCGCGACGACATGATCCCCGCGGGGGCACGCACCGCCGGCTCCGGTGGTGCTGCCGATGCCCATGGTGCCGTTGGCGGTGCAGGTGCGGGCGCGGAGCCGATAACAGGGGCGGGGGTGGGCGGGGACGTGTTTGGGCGGGCGGGGGAGGGCGTCCAGGCGGGGGATATCATCCGGGGAGGGGGGGAGGGCAGCATGGGGACGGTGGTGAGTGAAGAGGAGATGGAGATTCTAAAGCACCTGCAGGAGGACGTGGCGGTGCGCATGAGCGAGGACGAGCAGATGGAGCTGGAGGCGGTGGCCGTGGCGGACAGTGACGCTCAGTCGTCTTACATGGAGGGGGTCATGGGGATCAGGCGGAACTTCAAGCCTACGTTCATGGGAGTGAAGGTGCGTGCCTCCTCAGCCGCCTGCTAGGGGGCGTCAAGGTGAGCTGAGTGGGGTGGCTGTGGTAGGTGAGAGTGATTTCAGTGGGTGTGGCGGCAGCAGCTGCTGTCAAGTGAGGCACCTGCAGGAGGACGTGGCGGTGCGCATGAGCGAGGACGAGCAGATGGAGCTGGAGGCGGGCGCCGTGGCGGACAGTGACGCTCAGTCGTCTTACATGGAGGGAGTCATGGGGATCAGGCGGAACTTCAAGCCCACTCTCCTCGGCATGAAGGTGAGTCAAACGAGAGTCACTGTGTGACTAGTGTGGTAGTGATTGTAGCCAGCCAGGGTGGCGGTGGGTGTGGCAGCTGCAGCTGCTGTCGACTGAAGCACCGGCAGGAGGAGGGCAGCATGGGGATGGTGGTGAGCGAGCAGCTACTGTCAACTGTATTTTGAGTCGACTCAAAATACACCGGGACGGTGGTGAGCGAGCAGCTACTGTCAACTGCAGCACCTGCAGGAGGACGTGGCGGTGCGAGTGAGTGAGGGACGAGTGAGTGAGGGACGAGTGAGTGAGGGACGAGTGAGTGAGGGACGAGTGAGTGAGGGACGAGTGAGTGAGGGACGAGTGAGTGAGGGACGAGTGAGTGAGGGACGAGTGAGTGAGGGACGAGTGAGTGAGAGACGAGTGAGTGAGGGACGAGTGAGTGAGGGACGAGTGAGTGAGGGACGAGTGAGTGAGGGACGAGTGAGTGAGGGACGAGCAGCTCGAGCTGGAGGCACGGGCCGTGGTGGACAGTGACGCTCATTCGTCTTATATGGAGAACGTTATGCGGATCAGGCGGAAGTTCAAGCCGACACTCGTGGGCTTGAAGGTGAGTGGGACGAGAGTGCCGCCTGCTTGTGCTTAACAAGCATGTGGCCTTCGCTTCCTCCCTCATCCCCCTCACCTCATCCCCCTCACCTCACCCCCCTCATTTCACCCCCCCTCATCCCCCAGGACAAGGCCAGCAAGCACGTGCTCCCCCACATCTCCCAGATCGCCCGCACGTCCCGCATGGCGTTTCTCAAGACCAGCTCCACTCTGACCTCCCAAATCACCCCCTACTTCGGCTCCTCCTCGCCGCTCCTCGCCACTGCCCTCTCTTACCTGCTGCTCCTCCTCCCTCTCGCGCTCGTCACGGCGCTCTTTGTGCGCATGCGCGCGGCGCTCTCGCTGCGCCGCATCGTGCACTTTGCCAACCTGTACCTCTTCCTCTACTGCCTCGTACTCCTTGTGGCATGCTTCGTTATAAGCGCGGAGCCCATGGCGAGCCTGAAGAAGGTCGCGGAGCATAACTACTTCGTGCTGCAGCTGCTGCAAGGGGCCGGCTACCTCTGCTATCTCGCCCTCCAGGCAAGTGTTGTTCGGGCCCGGCCGATATATTATCTCTGCAGGTAATAAGGTCACGGAGCATAACTACTTCGTGCTGCAGCTGCTGCAAGGGGCTGGCTACCTCTGCTACCTCGCCCTCCAGGCAAGTGCTGCATGACCCTCCCAATACCTGTAGGGCGAGAGAGCATAACTGCTTCATGCTGCAGCTGCCGCAAGGGGCCAGATACGGTACGTCTGCTACCTCGCGCTGCAGGCAAGGGCTGCGTAACCTTCGATATCCTGGGCGATCAGCTTTCCTTTGCTGGAAGTGGTCAGTTTCCCTGCTGTTTTTATGGCTTATCTACCCTCGGAAAAGCAATATTTATTATGTCTTCCACCCCTTCCCCACTACCAGGTCCTCTCTCTCTGTGTCACCATCCGCTCCTCGGAGCGAGGCCATGGCAAGTTCATTCGGCTCCGGGCGGTGCTGCAGCTGCTGGTGGCTGCGGGGGTGGGGCTGCACTCCTATATCACTGTCTTCGAGCGCGCCATGCTTGACCTCCCTCCCACTGCCTCCGCCGGTGCGTATGCTGCTTACGCAGCGTGCTTCTTCTTCCTTGTGCTTATATCGAGGGGACCCAAGCGGCACGAGGACAAGGACAAGTAGTGCGGTGCAGAGATGGGTGCAATGATTAGGCTCCGTAGTGTTGGTAGTAGACGGATTTCCCTTCGTCTCATGTTTTTTTATGGTAATGAGAACTGACGACGCACCTGGTCTGCAAATTGCAACCTGTCTCAGAGTGATGCATGCTTGAAACTTGGTGAAGCCGTATTAGCTACTAGTGAGGCATTTTTCTTAGCCTTGTTACCCTAAGGGTGTAGAGCTGATGTCCGATCCGTTAGCTACTAATGATTCTTTCCGAGGTGTTTGTAAAGGAGGAGATTGGGGTGGTGCTGCGTTCTCTTACTGAAGGCCGCGTCAAGTGCACTTACCCCCTGGCACACGCCAGCAACTCATTGTGCCACGTGCCAAAAGGGGCTGACCTTTTTGCTGATTTGGCGTCGCGTCATGCACAAACCGTGGCGCATCTCTCGAGGATGCCGTTCGTCGTGATCACGGAATCGGCGTCAGCAAACGAGGAAGCTGCAAACAGATGAGGAACAGTTCGGAGCGCAGCCCCTGTCTCCCGAGAAATGGAAACGTCAGCACGCGCGGAAATGAAGTGCCAGCTGCGCACCAACCGCAAAAACCTGAGGTCCACTTCCGCCATCCGCACCTCCTCGATTTCGCCGACGCCCAAACGAAACCACAAAGCCCCACAGCTGGACCTTGTCGCGTAATACATGGGGATCTGCGACAGCACCGACGACAATCGCCAGCAGCTGCGAATGAAAATCAGCCGTTCGTGTCCACCTTTTCGGCATGGATGACCCTGGCCCACCAATCTTCCTTGCTTTGCGCCCGATTTCGCGACCAGGTATCGCAGGCTCTCGCATGGCCGACAGTCCCTCGGGTTTCCCGAAGCACAGCAACCACACGTTGAATCTAGCGAATTTCGTTAATCGTTCACATTTGTCGCTCGCCTCGCCGATCCCTCCTCGTTTACCTCTTTCCCCGTTCTTCGCCTCCCTCGTTGTGTACAGTTGTTTCGTCAGCTGTCTGCGCGGAATTCTGCGGTTTAGCTTTGCGCGGTGGTAACATAATCTGCAGGGGTGGTGGATCTTCCCCCCGACTCCCACACGACCCCTTTCGCCCTGTTCGCCCCCCCCCTCTCTTTACAGAACCTATTTCATGGCTGGATGAACTTCTCTACTGTTTCGTGGCTGTTGAGGGGCGTCTCAGTGATCTGGCTTCAGTTTCCCATCTGTATGCTTCTTAGGTATGCGACTTGATTCTTGGTTTCCTGATAAAATTTTATCAATTACACTAAGAGAGCGAAGAACGCTGGGAATTCACCAGGGATCAGGGTTTTTCTACCCCTTGGTTGTGTCAGGTATTGTGTGGTTGTTTCAGCGACCAGAGAGCACCTGTAGCGCATGACGGAGCAGCGTCCTACACGTTTCGGCGGCCTTTCGTTGTGTCACAGCCTCGTGACGGCAGCCGACAGCCGGCATGCGGCTTCTCCAGCGGTCGCTCGAGCGTTCGCCCACGAGGGTGCGAATGGAGATCCGTCCGTCAGGCGGCCAAGCTAATGGAAAAACCGCGCAGCCGTCAAGGAAACCCCGACGCTCGCATGCGAAACTGCTTTTCGCGCCATCGGAGCGCGCGACGTCGCCGTCGCGCGTATCCGCCGCGTCTACGTTTACATCCACGTCTACGTCTACGTTTGCGTCCGACTCTCGCCCTAGCACGGAGGGAGCGGCTCCAATTTCGTCGATCACGACAGTGTCCATGTTACCAGTTAGGACCGCTAGGGACAGCGCTGTGAGCTTTAGTCGAGCCGCCTTGCCGCCGTCTCCGAAGCAGCAGCCGCCGAATGCGGCAAACGATTTAGCGACAGTTCCTCCCGAACCTGCTTCTCAGGTTCGGGCATCGGCGTTGGGGGCAGGTTCGGCAGTAGTCGATACCAGACCCACGTCTGGAGATGGGGCCGAGGCGATTAAAGATCTATTTGGTCCGCCAGTCCTCTGCTGGGAGCGCGTGGGCGGAGCGACTAAGGCGTATGTGGCGAATGAGGGCCGCGGGGGCGGAACGGAAGGCGCGGAGGGCGAGGGGCGGGGGCGCAAGGGGCGGCGACGGAGGGCGTTTCTGATCGAAGATGTCGGGGAGCGCGCAGACGCGGTTATGGTGAGTGCGCCTGAGTTGTATCGAGTAGTTAGTAGTTCCTGATCGAATGCTTATTTAGTCTGCATATCGTCAGTCCATCGTCGCACGTCGTACGAGTAGCCTGATAATCTCCTTCCACCTTCATCGCCATTATCACTCATTTTCGCCTAGTTCTGGTTACCAATTTCGCCCCCCTTTTCTTTTCCAGGAGCTGGCCGACTTCTTCAAGACAAATTTTCTGCCCGAGGGGTTTCCTGACAGCGTGGCTCCGTCGTTCGTGCCGTACATGCGATGGCGCGCACTGCAGGTGACTATAGGAGGGAGGCGGGGGTTTTAGGTGACTGTAGGGAGGGGAGATTCAAATTATTGCATTAAGTGAGGGCAGAATCTCTTCAAGATGGAGAGGGTTTAATTGACAGCATAGCTCCGTCGTTCATTCCAGGTGATTGCGAAGAAAAGGTGAGTTTAATCTTCCCAAGGACAATGAATTTAGCGCTCTCGCGGTGAATTGGGCGTTCAAGGGCGTTCCCTTTCTCCCGCTTCCCCCCCATTTCTCCCCACACCCCTCGTATTTTGAGTCGACTCAAAATTCCCCCCCATTTCTCCCCACACCCCTCCCTCTCCCCGCCGCAGTATTTCTTTGGGGGAGCCATGGGCGTCTTTACCACCAGGTCGCTGCTGCACGCCTTGGGAGTGTCGCGCGGCGCTGCGGGCGGGAGCGCGGCCAGCGCGCTGGCGGTGAACTGGGTGCTCAAGGACGGCGCGGGGCGGCTGGGGAAGATGCTGTTCGCGCGGCACGGCAAGCGATTCGACTGCGATTTGAAGCAGGTGGGCAAGTTGGGGCGGGTCTTGCGCGTCAGATGCGGCGATTCCTCAGCAACGGGACTTAGAGCTCCCTATTAGAGAGGCGCCCCTCTTAGAGGCGATCGCATCCTCTTCTCCCCCCTCCCACTCTCCCCTTTACCCCCCCTCCCCACCCCCCACTCCTCCTCCCAACAACAACAACATGCTGCTGGACTTTGGCTGCTGCGCCGAGCTCTGCACCAGTCTTGATAGAGACGACTCGCTCTTTTCTCGCCTCCTTCCCCCTCCCTCGCCTCCTTCCCCCTCCCTCGCCTCCTTCCCCCTCCCTCGCTTCCTTTCCCCTCCCTCGCTTCCTTTCCCCTCCCTCGCCTCCTTCCCCCTCCCTCGCCTCCTTCCCCCTCCCTCGCCTCCTTCCCCCTCCCTCGCCTCCTTCCCCCTCCCTCGCCTCCTTCCCCCTCCCTCGCCTCCTTCCCCCTCCCTCGCCTCCTTCCCCCTCCCTCGCCTCCTTCCCCCTCCCTCGCCTCCTTCCCCCTCCCTCGCCTCCTTTCCCCTCCCTCGCCTCCCCCCCTCTCTCCCCCCCCTCAGATGCGATTTCTCAGCAACATGCTTTTGGACTTCGGCTGCTGTGTGGAGCTCTGCACCATGGCCGCGCCCAAGCTGTTCCTGCCGCTGGCATGTGTGGCCAACGTCTTCAAGGTGGGTGCAGTGCGGTATCTTGAGGTACAGTAGGTTCTGTATGCTGTGTGGAGCTCTGCACCATGGCTGCTCCCGAGCTGTTCCTGCCGCTGGCATGTGTGGCCAACGTCTTTAAGGTGGGTGGAGAACGGTACCATGCGTGAGGAGTCTATTTTTGAGGCGCCTCAAAAATAGACTTCTGCTGCTGGCATGTGTGGCCAACGTCTTTAAGGTGGGTGGCGAACGCAACCGCCTATCCCCCAATCCCTCCCCCAACCCAACCCCCCCCCCCCCCCTCCACCCGCGCCCCCAATAACAAAATCCATAAAGCGTTTAAGCCAGTTGAACCCCCTTCTTATCCCCCCCCAGCCTCGCCCCTTCCTCCGTCCAACTCCTCTCTCCCCCATCTGCACACATCTCTCCCAACGGCATGCAACCATGTCATGTCATAACATAACGTAGGCGCCGTCATGTTCACTCGGGCGCCCACCTCGACGCTTTCTCTCCCCCCCCGTCCTCCTCCATCTCACCAGAACATCGGTGCTGTCGCCAGCATGTCCACCCGAGCACACAAGGCGTTTGCGTAAACCTTATTGGAATTTGAACCTCCTCCTCGAAAACCCACCCCCCCCCCTCTTCCCTCTTTCCCCCTCCCTAACTACACCACCAAAACATCGGTGCTGTCACCAACACGTCCACCCGAGCGCCCATCTACATGGCGTTTGCGTAAGCCTTATTAGAATTCGGACCTCTCTTCTCAAACGCCCCTCTCCCCCCACCACCACCCCCCCTTGTGTATTTTGAGCCGACTCAAAATACACCGACTCAAAATACACCGACTCAAAATACACCGACTCAAAATACACCGACTCAAAATACACCGACTCAAAATACACCGACTCAAAATACACCTCTCCCCCCACCACCACCCCCCCTTCTTCCCTCTTTCCCCCTCCCGAACTCCACCACCAATTTTTTTTTGGAGGCGCCTAAAAAATCGTCAAATTTTTAGGCGCCTCGAAAATCGTCAAATTTTTAGGCGCCTAAAAAATCGTCTCTTTCTTCCTCCCGAGCTACTCCATCAGAGCATTGGTGCGGTCACCAATACATAACCCACAACGCCTTTAGACCCACTGACCCCTCCCTCCCTTCCCCCAACATGCAAACACCAGAACATCGGTGCAGTCACCAACACATCAACCCGAGCGCCCATCTACAAGGCGTTTGCACGGCGGGAGAACATTGGGGACATCACAGCCAAGGGGGAGAGCATCAGCAACCTGGCGGACCTGGTGGGTGGGGGTGTGCGTGTGGGGGCGTGTGGGGGGTGTGTGCGGGTGTGTGCGGGCGTGTGCGGGTGTGTGGGGGTGTGCGTATTGAGACGATTCAAAAGGGGGAATCTGCCTGTGGCGTTTGCCCGGCGGGAGAGCATTGGCGACATCACGGTCAAGGGGGAGAGCAGCAGTAACCTGGTTGACCTGGTGGGTGGATGGGGTGTCTGTGTTGAGGGGGGGAGGGGTCGACGAGTGTGGGCGTGTGTGGTGTGGGTGTGTGGTGTTGGTGTGTATTTCTACACATGCAAAACATCGTGCTAGAAGAAAAGAACCTAAATCAATAATGACGACTTTTTTGTATCTATGTGCAGATGGGCACAGGAGCGGGCATCCTTATAGCGAGGAACAACCCTCCCCTGGCTGCGACCTTCGCTCTCCTCTCCTGCGGCTACCTCTTTGCATCCTTCAATGAGGTGAGACATGCATACACCCACTAGTGCATTCAGCCATGCATGTGCACATGCACCCACTAGTGCATTCAGCCATGCATGCGCACATGCACCCACAAGTGCATTCAGCCAGGCATGCGCACATGCACCCACTAGTGCATTCAGACATGCATGCTCACATGCACCCACAAGTGCATTCAGACATGCATGCGCACATGCACCCACAAGTGCATTCAGCCATGCATGCTCACATGCACCCACAAGTGCATTCAGACATGCATGCGCACATGCACCCACAAGTGCATTCAGACATGCATGCGCACATGCACCCACTAGTGCATTCAGACATGCATGCGCACATGCACCCACAAGTGCATTCAGACATGCATGCTCACATGCACCCACAAGTGCATTCAGACATGCATGCGCACATGCACCCACAAGTGCATTCAGACATGCATGCGCACATGCACCCACTAGTGCATTCAGACATGCATGCGCACATGCACCCGCAAGTGCATTCAGACATGCATGCTCACATGCACACACAAGTGCATATAGACATGCATGCGCACATGCACACACAAGTGCATACAGACATGCATGCGCACATGCACACACGCTCCCACAGATGCCCTCGTTCCCTCCCCCTCCCCCCCCCCCAACACCCTCGCTCTCCTTTCTAACTTCTGCAACTCACTGAACCGCGCCCCACATCCCTTCCTCAATCTTTCTTCAGGTCAAATCCGTGCAAGTACCAACGCTCAACCGCGCTCGCTTCGCCGTGGCGGTCCGCTCCTTCCTGGAAACGGGCCAGGTGCCTTCCCTGGCAGAGGCCAACGCCAGGGAGCGCATCCTGGTGCTGCCGTGGGCCGTGGACCGGCCCCTTGAACTGGGAGCACGCGTGGCGGACGCGTTCAGAAGCCCCTCTGACCTGCGCTCGTCTCAACACATCTTCAAGGTATGGTTGCTGCTAGCACAGTAGAGGTAACCGGGCCAGGTGCCTTCCCTGGCAGAGGCCAACGCCAGGGAGCGCATCCTGGTGCTGCCGTGGGCTGTGGACCGCCCACTTGAACTGGGAGCACGCATGGCGGACGCGTTCAGAAGCCCCTCGGACCTGCGCTCCTCACAACACATCTTCAAGGTACCTCTGCTGTTTGGAACAAATCTTCAAGGCCTTGAAATTACTCGCAACTTCCAAATTTCACCTATGCCGTCGTGAAAGCAGGTGCCAAGTCAAGTCAAGCGGCGTGGTGCATGCATGCAGCTTTGAACTTACTACTACCCCCCTCCCCCCGTTCGGCCCACCCTCGTCCTTCCCCACCTTTCTCTCTCTCCATTCCCCTCTCCCTCCCGCCACCAGGACGAGCAGTACTTAGTGATATACCGCGCCAGCCACCGCCGGGTGTATGTGGTGCTGAAAGAGGGCGCCAAGTCTAGGGATGTGGCGCAAGCAACCTTCCAGCAGCTCTCACCCACCCCCCCCCCCCCTTACCCCTCCTCCCCCCCCCACGACCATCACCAGGACGAGCAGTACATAGTGACATACCGCCCCAGCCACCGCCGGGCGTATGTGGTGCTGAAAGAGGGCGCCAAGTCCAGAGACGTGGTGCGGGCGGCCTTCCAGACGCACGTGCTGCTGCACCTGCTGCACCAATGGCGCCAGGACACCTGCCAGCAGCCGCTGCTGAGTCACCAGCTCTCACCAGACACGTCCCTCAAGTCCCTCGACCTCTCTCCGAAAGACTCGTCCACAACCCTCCTCAAAAACCTAAGTCCAGACAGCCTTAGCCCGACAGCCCTCAGCAGCAGCAGCCCCGGGCAGTGGGGGCCCAAGGAAATCAGCCCCAAGGGGCCGAGGGCATGGCAGAGATCCCTTACCTCAGCAGAGGTGGAGCGAGCGGTAGCAGAAAGCCTGCATCTGACCAAGAGCCTGTTTGGGCGGTTTGAGGAGAGGGCTGCGGGCGAGGGGTGGACCATGGCTGACTCCCTGCTCAACCCGGGGAAGTCTCGCGTGCTCTCGGCGCCCCCGCCTGGAGTTACTGCTGCTGCAAATGCTCTGGTGTCGCACTCTGCTGCTGCTGCTTCCGCACCAACTGCTGCTGCTGGGGGTGGTGGGGAGGGTGGGGCTTGTGCTGGGGCGGGGCCTGCTGGTGGTGTCAGCTTTGGTGGCGCACCTGATGCTGTTACTGCTCCGCTCACTCAGCCTCCGCTTGCTGCCTCTGGGAGGGTTGCGCTGGAGCCTTTTGCAGGTGCTGCTGCTTGAAATTACTTATGAGTTGACTGGAAAGTCAGCTTGTTGCTGCTCCTTAGCCTCTTGAAGGATGAAGCTGGAGCCGTTTGCCGGTGCTGCTGCCTGAAACGACTTCGGAGCTTAGTTGACTCACGAGTCAGCGCGTCCTCAGCGCGTTGCTGCTCCGCTCTCTCTGCCTCCGCTCGCTGCCTCTGGGATGGTTGCTCTGGATCCCCTTCCGGGTACTGCTAGTAGCTTGTAGCCTACGTTACTAGGTACTGGCGCTGCTGCAGCTGGTGGTGGTGATTGTGGTAGACAGAGTGCTGTGACAGTAGTGGTAATTGTGCCACTACTAATGAATTTGAAAGGGTTTGTGGGTGTTGGGGTGGTTGGGAATTCCCTGCACTTGTGCTGCTGCACATGCATGTTTGTGGCACAACCTGCCCGAGAAGGGTTAGTGGTGCAAGCAAGCACATGTTATTAAGTAAATTTTAGTTATTGGAGTATTCCTTAGACTCGGTATCTCCATATCTCCCACTAAGTGTCCCTTGTCTCCCAGCACTGGTGTGGCAGTTAGGGTGCAACATCAACTCTACATTGAATACTTTTCCAACTACTGCACTATTCACACCAGCTTGTAACAAACCATACCACCAACATTTCTTGGCCCGCTTCTAGACTGCACTGCTTCTTAGGGGGTTCCCCCTTCAATATCATGACCCCTCCAAGTGCGTCATCTGCACCCCATGCTCCAGCACACCTCCTCCTTCCAGCCGCACCTCACTGCACCTCACTGCACCTCTCTTCTTCTCACGCTTTCTTCCCCCCCGTCTCGCCATCGCAATCCCTGCCTTATCTATAGATCTAACCTGACTTACTACTGGTATTCGCTCTCTTCCCCCCCATCTTACCATCAAGGGAGAACACATCAGCATCAATTGGCTGCTCCAACTCCCCTCGCCCTGAGGCAACACAAACAATAAGCAACTCACCCTCTTCCTCTGCCTCTAGTCCTCCTTCCTCAGACGAATCGAGTCAAAAGTCAATCAGTCAATCAGTCAAAAGTCAATCAGTCAATCAGTCTAACGCATCAAACCTCGGAGAACCCATCTGTGATGACAGCCTGCTGCTTCTCCCCCCCCTCCCCCTGAAGCAGCACAAACAATGAGTGCAAAGCCGCCTCTCGACTCGAGGTGACTTTTGTGTCGACTCAAAAGTCACCGCAGCACAAACATTGAGTGCAAAGCCGCCTCCCGTCCTCTACCTCTATTCCTCCCTCCTCTTTTGCGTCGACTCAATAGTCAACTAGTGCAAGGCAACCTCTAGACCTCTACCTCTACTCCTTCCCCTGTCATCATCCAACGAGAACCCATCTGTGTTACCAGCAACCGCTTGCTTCTTCTCCATCTCTCGTAAAGCAGCGGCGCAAACAATAAGTGGAATACAACCTCTACCCCTCTACTCCTTCTTCCCCTCCTCCATGTCATCGTCCAAGGAGAACACATCTGTGTTCACTGCCTGCTTCTTCTCCGCCCCTGCAGAGCCACTAGCAGCTGAAACTGCGGTCAATGCTATCTCCTCCTCCCCCACCTCCTCAGGGACATCCTCCGAGTATGCATATCTGGTGTGAGGGAGAGGGGAGGGGGGAGGGGGTATGTATGGGGATGAATGGAATGAAAGAGCCTCAGAACCCAGTATCTGGTGTGAGGGAGAGGGGAGGGGGGAGGGGGTATGTATGGGGATGAATGGAATGAAAGAGCCTCAGAACCCAGTATCTGGTGTGAGGGAGAGGGGAGGGGGGAGGGGGTATGTATGGGGATGAATGGAATGAAAGAGCCTCAGAACCCAGTGTCTGGTGTGAGGGAGAGGGGAGGGGGGAGGGGGTATGTATGGGGATGAATGGAATGAAAGAGCCTCAGAACCCAGTATCTGGTGTGAGGGAGAGCGGAGGGGGCATGTATGGGGATGAAAGGGGCATCAGCAGCAGCAGCAGCAGTGAGTGTGATCTCCTCCTCCCCCACCTCCTTGGGGACATCCTCAGAGTATGCGTATCTGGTGTGAGGGAGAGGGGAGGGGGTACGTATGGGGATGAAAGGGAAGGAAGAGCCTCAGAACCCAGCATCAGCATCAGCACCACCAACTCCAGTCGCAGCAGTGAGAGATATCTCCTCCACCCCCCACCTCCTCTGGGTCATCCTCAGAGTCTGCGTATCTGGAAAGAGGCAGGGAGGAGGGGGCGTGAGATGGGGTATGTATGGGGAAGATAGGGATGTATGGGGATGATAGGGATGTATGGGGATGATAGGGATGTATGGGGATGATAGGGATGTATGGGGATGATAGGGATGTATGGGGATGATAGGGATGTATGGGGATGATAGGGATGTATGGGGATGATAGGGATGTATGGGGATGATAGGGATGTATGGGGATGATAGGGATGTATGGGGATGATAGGGATGTATGGGGATGATAGGGATGTATGGGGATGATAGGGATGTATGGGGATGATAGGGATGTATGGGGATGATAGGGATGTATGGGGATGATAGGGATGTATGGGGATGATAGGGATGTATGGGGATGATAGGGATGTATGGGGATGATAGGGATGTATGGGGATGATAGGGATGTATGGGGATGATAGGGATGTATGGGGATGATAGGGATGTATGGGGATGATAGGGATGTATGGGGATGATAGGGATGTATGGGGATGATAGGGATGTATGGGGATGATAGGGATGTGAGAACCTCACAACCCAGCATCAGCACCACCAATACCGGCAGCAGCAGCAGCAGCAGCAGCAGCGCACGGGCCAGAAGCACACTGTGATGCGAGGGAACTAGAACTTACCTTGTGGTGTTTGTAGAGGGCGCTCACAACACGCAGATGAGGCACAGGAGCATGAGCGTGAGCACGTGCCAGGAGCACACCTTGCGTCGTCAGAGGAACCCTCCCTCCCTCCCTACCTTGTGGCATTCTTAGAGGGCGCCCACAGCACGCAGATGAGGCACAGGAGCATTAGCGTGAGCACATGCCAGAAGCACCCCGTGATCCAATCGCCCTCCCACTGCTCGTTGTACGGGTCAGACGTGCGCAGGTACATCTGGGGTAGGTGGACATGGGGGAAGGGATGCATATACACGTTATATGGTGATCCTATCGCTTGTACGGGTTGGACGTGCGCAGGTGCATCTGGGGTAGGGGGCATGGGGGAAGGGATGCATATACACGTTATAAGGTGATCCAATCGCCCTCCCACTGCTCGTTGTACGGGTCGGATTTGCGCAGGTACATCTGGAGAATGGTGGCGTGGGGAAAGGGGGAGGTTGTATTGAGGCTGTTATGCTTGGTGTCTCATCGCCCAGACTCCCATATCCCATACCCATACTCCTACTGTCCCTTATCCCATCATCCACACTCCCATATCCCATACCCCTTGCTCTCATACATCCCATATCCTATTTCTGCTTCTGTGTGGTGTGCTTGGCCTAGGCCTGCACTCCATGCCTGCTGGTTAACTTCCAACACAGCTCCAGCTCATGGGGAGGGCACTTGGCCTGCAGCTGAGGAAGAGTCTTAACCCACACTCCATACCCCATACCCCGTATCCCGTGCCCTAAGGTGTTTCCGCTCACCTCAAAGCCTATCCAGGCGACCGACAAAAGAACAGCAATCGCCAACCCGTTGGTGAACTTCCTGTCGAGCTCCAGCTTGTGCGTGGTGCGCTTGGCCTGCAGCTGTGACCCATACCCAATGCGCACATGTTCCCAAATGTTCTCTCACCTCGAAGCCTATCCATGCCACCGACACCATAACAGCAATAGCCAGCCCGTTGGTGAACTTTCTGTAGAGCTCCAGCTTGTGCGTGGTGCGCTTGGCCTGCAGCTGGGCGAGCGTCTTGGAGAGCGCCGAGAAGATCCAGAGGATGAAGATGGCATCTAGCACAGCCACCGGCAGCACCAGGAACAGCCGCTCGCTGCTCGTGAGATCGTCAATCGCCCCCACGTTCTGCATCACGTCTAGCAGCTCCACCGCCGCAAAGTACCCCACTCCCAGCGCGATCACCTTCCCTGAAAGTCCTCCAAGAGTGGGCCGAACGACGCCGAACCCCATGGAGACGACCAGCACGAGGACCCGGGAGACCGCCTTGCGGATGGCGCCGAGAGTCGCCGCCCAAATGGTGGTGCCCATGGGGCGGAAGCCGGAGGAGTTGAAGTTCGCGAAGTCGAAATACCAGGTGGCCATCTCGACCATAGAGAGGACTAGGACGGCCGTGATGCACGTGTGGATCTGCAGGCCGTCCTGCCAGAAGCGGAAGTAGGACACGAACCAGACGATGCCCAGGATGGTGTACACCTGGTGGGGAGAAGCATGAGGAAGAAGGGATCAGGGGAAAAGGGGAGTTGGGATACAAGGGGTGCGAGGAGGGAGAGGGAGTGGGGCGGAAGCCGGAGGAGTTGAAGTTTGTGAGGAGGGAGAGGGAGTTGGCGTCGAAATACCAGGTGGCCATCTCGACCATTGAGAGCACTAGCACGGCCGTGATACACGTGTGGAGCATTGAGGTATGGCGCCACACGCATGCATGCATGCACCTAGATTCTAGCTTTCGCTCACCACAGCCATGATCTCGTAGAAGGTGAGGTACGGCGCCATCATGCCCGGCAGGTACCCATCGGGGTTCTTCCACACGGTTGTCCCCGTTACAGACACGCCCGCCAGGCTCTTGTCGCAGATGACAAACCAGAGGTAGTACATGCCCGTCATCTTGATGCGGATCTCGGAAGGCGCTGCCACCACTGCCGTGTCGTTGCCAAAGAAGTTGATCTCCACCACCCGAGGCCACTGACGGGGGGGAAGGGAAGTGGGGAGAGGAAGGCCTTGTTCTGGCAGATGACGAACCAGAGGTAGTACATGCCCGTCATCTTCATGCGGATCTCTGAAGGCGCCGCTGTCACTGCTGTGTCGTTGCCAAAGAAGTTGATCTCCACCACCCGAGGCCACTGCGGGGGGGGGGGGGGGGTTGGGAGAGGGAAGTGGGGAGAGGGAAGTGGGGAGAGGGAAGTGGGGAGAGGGAAGTGGGGAGAGGGAAGTGGGGAGAGGAAGGCCTTGTTCTGGCAGATAACGATAACACCCAGTGCGCTGCACGAGCTCGGGAGAACAGGCATGCTTAAAGAATTTCGAACTCGCAGCATACCCTTGGAGGCCCTACCTGGCTGGTGGTCCCCATCCCTTGGCCGGATGATGACGTGGCCGGGGTTGCACCCAGTGCGCTGCACGAGCTCGGGAGAACAGGCATGCTTTAAGAATTCAAACTCTCCCATTCCCTTAGAGAGCCTACTGTGGTCCCATCCCTGCTGGACGATGACGTGGCCGGGTTGCACCCAGTGCGCTGCACCAACTCGGGAGAACAGGCATGCGTTAAGAATCTCGAGCTCACACCATACCCTTAGAGGCCCTACCTGGTGGTCCCCATCCCTTGGCCGGACGATGACGTGGCCGGGGTTGCACCCAGTGCGCTGCACGAGCTCGGGTGTGCAGCAGAAGGATCGCGTCTTCTCTGACGTGGCGTATCCGATCCGATCGCGATCTTCCACGTCGAACAGGAGAGCCTCTATCAGCCCAGTTTTCCCGGTCCGCGGCGCGCGCTGCGCCTCCTCCTCTGGCCGGTGGAACTCCAGGTGGTCGAATCTGATTGGCACAGAGAGTGAGTTTTCATATTGGGTGCCTAAACGAGAAGACGCAGGAAGTTGCAAAATCCAATGTTTAAGGTCTGCGGTGAAGTTATGACGGATGCGACAACCACACTCACCGAATATAAGATTTGCCGTTAGACACGCCTTTCGAGACGGTCTGCCAGTTGGCAATGGCGTGCGACGCGGACATGAAGAGACCAGTGAGTCCATTAAAACTGTAGTCGGTGCGAACTTACCGAATGTAAGCTTTGCCGTTAGACACGCCCTTAGCGACGGTCTGCCAGTTGGCGATGGCGTAGGGCGTCGACATAAAGAGACCCTCGCGACCCCCCCGAAATAAGAACGCGTCGGAAGCCGGAAAGAACCGCTCGCCCTTATATCGGTGGACTGCGGATTCCGCGACCCATGGGGATGCGAGGAGCAGAACCGTCGCCAACGCCCATGCGAGCGCTGATGATTCGCGGATCGTCGTCGAGAGCATGGCGACGTCGCACGGACGACGGCAATCTGGCGAGAGGACACGTCACTGGCAATGAGGATGTAGCAACGAATAATGTCTGACTGGATGATGTCTGGATCAAGTCTGGACGAGTTGTTTTGAATCTGACTGAATCCCTAGCCTAGCCTCAACAGAGCTGCCAAGCAGCAAGCGGAAATTAGACCAGCAGGAAGCAGGTCCTTACCCACAGACTGACTGACACGAGTAATAAGCTTTTCCCGCCAAGTCGAAATCTCACGGCCGTTGGTTGGCCTCGGCATTCCCAATGTCTGGTCTGGACAGAGGCACGCTTTTTGCAATGTCCGATTGACGCACATCATAACCTTATCTATTCGTTATCATATACCGGTATGTGAAAACAAACAATTCCTTCCATTCTAACTTCAAAGGCACTACCGGTATCAAAGTCACTTGCTTCCTTATGTCAATCCCCTCTTTACACGTACAAGTAGTGGTACACTTCTGTACACCGAAATTAATCATAATCATACCCTTGCCTTCTCTCCATCACCCCGGCCAGTTCAGAGTGCGTGATCGGCCAATCTCGTGGATGGAGCGGGCGGAAGAAAGGAGTCGACCGGCAAGCCAGTAACAGCGGCCACATGTCTGCCCGGACGGAAAAAAACTCATCGAGCGCCTGCCCGCCAAATTCCGGGTACTCCGTCTGGTGCTTGGGCTTGGTCTGTGTAGCGCCCTTGACGCCGGCAATCACATCCTGTGCTGTCAGCCCCATTCCAAGAAACTCTGCCAGAGGCTCCGCAACCAGCTGGGAGAAGGAAACTCGGTTCATGAGGGTGGGAAAGGCAGGGGCGGTGGGAGGAAAGGGAGGACGGGGAAGTGGGAGCGGGGAGGGGGGAAGGGGGAAGGGGGAGGGGGGAGGGGGGAAGGGGGAAGGGGGAGAGGGGAAGGGGAAGGGGGGAGGGGGAAGGGGGGAGGGAGCACAGTCGAATGGAAAGAGAGCCGTGAGAGATGGATGGAAGGAAGAGGACCATAGAGGAGTCAAAACAGCTAAATGGGTTCCCATAATCTATGGACATCGATTGTCTCCTGGTAATCACCATGGACATGCTGAGCTGCTTACCCCCCCCCCCAGATCACATTAAGTCAGATATCAGTTGCAAATACTGGTAACAGTTGGCAGCAGCTGCTTACCTCGGGGCTGTCGGCGACCCAGTCGAAGTCGAGCACGATGTACTTGCTGCAGGGGATCATGCGCATGGTGGTGTCGAGAAACACCATCTCGTCCTCCACTATGCGCACCTGCATGAAAGAGATTTACATAAGAGGGAGTGAGGAGGTGGGGAGGGATGAGGATCAAGGAGACGGGAGGTCCTGGCCTCTATCACACGCGCATGGTGGTGTCGAGAAACACCATCTCGTCCTCCACTATGCGCACTGAGAAAGAGAAATCATAAGAGAAAGGGGGGGGGGGGGGGGGGGGGGGGGGGGGGGGGGGCACTGCATGGAAAGAGAATATAAGAGAAAGGAGTGTAGGAGATGGGGGGAGATGAGGATCAAGGGGCCGGGAGCACATTTTGGTGTCCTCTATCCTGCGCATGGTGGTGTCCACAAACACCGTCTCGTCCTCCACCATGCGCACCTGGTAAAAAGAGGGAGCAAGAAGTCATAAGAGGAGGAAGGGGTTTGGGGAGATGAGAATAATGGAGCCCCGAGGTCGTTCCCTCAATCGTGCGCAGCAAGTAAGGGATCACCTGTAAGCCCAGGTCTCTCCCTTGGTGTGTAATGAGTCGATTTTTGAGTCGACTCAAAAAGCAAGTAAGGCATCACCTGTAAGCCCAGGTCTCTCCCTTGGCACCCCATGCGGTAGGCTGAGTGCACGGCATCCGGCAGGCCCCTGGATATGGCCACCAACTTGAGGTTAAACAGCAGCCCGTCCAGCTGCAGCATGTGTGTGCACCAGGTCGGGCTTGTCAGAGCGGGAGAAGACTCGCCAGGTCCGGCTATCTGCGAGGGAAGGGACTTACCTACTTACTTACTTGCAAGCCCAGGTCGCCCCCGTGGTACCCCATTCTGTAGGCTCAGCGCACGGCGTCTGGCAGGCCTCTGGAGATGACCACCACCTTGAGGTTGCACAGCAGCGCGTCCAGCTGCAGCATGTGCACCAGGTGCCCCTCCCCCACCCACAGCACCCAGCGACCTCTTTCCCACACTCACCTGCAGGCTCAGGTCGCGTCCGTGTACCCCATGCAGTAGGCTGAGTGCACGGCATCCGCAGGCCCCAACCCAACCTTGAGGTTGCACAGTAACCCGTCCAGCTGCAGCATGTGCACCAGGTGAGGGTGCGGCTGCCTGTGATGGCTGGCACTCACCCCTTTGTCGCAAGTGAGAGACTCACCTGCAGGCCCAGGTCGCCTCCATGGTATCCCATCCTGTACGCCGATCTAACAGCGTCAGGCAGGCCCCTCGATATCACCACCACCTTGAGGTTGAACAGCAGCCCGTCCAGCTGCAGCATGTGCACCAGGTCCGGCCGAGCCAGCGGCGTCCGAACCCGACCCAGAGGGTAGGAATCGCGGGCGCGCAGGTATGGGGCTGGCATGTGGGATTTCGGGAGGGGGATTTGTGGGGGGGAGGGGGGGGGATGGAGGCATGGGGGGGTTAAGTGATTGAAGAAGAGCGGAAGGAGGAGAGGGGAGTGGAGCTCAGGAGAGGGTCATGGGAAAAAAGAGGATCATGGAGGAAAGGAGATTGATGGAGGGTGATGGAGGGTGATGGAAGAATGGAAATTGGAAGAACGGATGGAGGGGAGAGCGGGAGCGAGAAACCTCAACGTACAGTTGCCAATCTCTGCCAGCCGCACCGCCATCTCCTTGGCATAGGCTCGCAGCGGGCGAGCATAGGGCAGACGGGGACAGCTGGTGGTGGCGGGAGCAAGGGGGGAGAGAGGAGAGGGGGGAGGGGAGGGAGGGGAAAAAAATATCGGCGGAACGAACGAGCTGAGACATTAGAAGGCGCGCAGGTGCGAGCATAGGGGCAGACGGGGACAGCTGGTGGTGGCGGGAGCAAGGGGGGAGAGGGGGGGGGGGGGGGGGGGGGGGGAGGGGAGAGGTGGGGGGAAGACGTGGGGGGGAGGAGGAAAGAAATCAGCAGAAAGCAGCAGAACAGGGGCATAGGGCAGACTGTGACCGCACATTACCACACAAACCGACCATCACTGCACTGCACCAGGTCTCACCGTGCATCCACGCCATGGACGTGTGTTTGCGTTTCCTCCGAGGTGAGATGGAGCAGCGGCTCGAACGCCACCACTGCAAGGCGCACAAGGGGGAGTGAGGCAAAGCAAGAAAAAGCAAGGGAGAACCGCAACTTTTGAGGTGCACATTTCGAGCCCTACCACACACACACACGCGGTAACTCACCGCTGAAGTTAACTTTCTTGATGTTCCGAAACACCTGTTCAAAGAACTTATGCCCGGACCCCTCGATCCCCGCAAAGAACACCACCAGCGGAAGCTCGTCCCCCGCTCCGCCGCCCTCCCCCTCCCCGCCCGCGCTAGTCCCATTCTTTCCCTCCGCGGACCCCCCCGCGCCCCCCACTCCCGCCGCAGCTTCCCCGTCCGCAGGCTTGTCTTGCGCGTAGAAGTGCTTCGCGCTATGCGCGACCGCTTTCATGTCTATTCTGGGGCGGCAAACTGGAGGACGCATCGGACACCGCTCGTGGAAGCGCTTCTTAAGATGCTCTAATAAGGTTGCTTGGCCGCCGGCGCCGGCGCCGCCTAAACCTAAGCCTGAGATGTCGCTATGTTGTAGCGACCCTTCGTGCGACATTGCGACGTCTTGGATGTAGAGAACCGTCGCTGCGACGACCCAGACGACGAAGATCTGTGCCACGGCGAATCGCACGACGGGCCGTCGCCAGAGCTGCTGGATCGGACGGAGGAGATTCGACGGCCGGGATTTCGTGTGGGACGGGCTGGCGTCATCGGAGCCGTCGTCGGCATCTAGGATTGCATCGAAGGGATCTATTCCGTCGTCGTGATTGGCTGAGCGACGAAGAGCGGATCCAGGAGATTGAGTCAGGCTCTCCTTGACTTCCATGATGCACTCCTAGGAGAGCAGCTATTCGTGGCGGATTATACGGCTGAATTACCGACGTAATGTCCTGAAGACGAGGCTAACTGTCGAATTATAAACTAATTTCCTACTTCTCTCAAGTGGAACGCACGGCGAGCGAGAAGGGTGCAAAGAATCTTAGAAATTGGGGTGGATTAGTTGAATGTGGCGATGTGAGGGCGCCATACGTGGGACAGGCCTCAAGATGAGAGCATCAATGGAACACCATGGATTTGCATGAGGCAAGGCCAATGGGAATTATGAAATCTAGGTTGGTGATGATGATGAGGTGACGGTGGAAAGTTACTAATGGTCCTCCATATAGGCTGTCCGTTATGGATAAAACTCCCACCTCATCTTTTAGCGCCAAAATTTCGTATAACTTGCGGTAATTTCGAGCTGCGTCTCATGTCTGTAAGGAAATTTCCTTTTCCTTACTGGGCTCGACTAGTTGCAAGCCAGGAGGAGTTTGACGAGTTGCAAGCCAGGGCGGCTACAGTGACGACACTGCATGCCCAGCTTCAACAACTCGCGGATAAATTCGAGTCGCTGGGAAGCGAAGTTCAGACGCTGCGCAACGAAAACTCGTCACTTTGTCAGACGCGAGGTGAAATGCGTCAGGAGCGGCCTGTTACCCGAGACGAAGATGCTGCGAGCGAAGTGAGGGCGTCGGCGACACCTGAAGCAGTTGAAGAAGTCCACTGCGAGTCGCGGGCAGCCATTAAAATCAAGCCTCCGATGCCCCCACCGTTCAACCCGATCGACACGACAACTGCAATGAGCGGGTGGCTGTTCGCCATGGAAATCTTCTTCACGGCAACAAGTATTAATGATAATGCACCATGTGTCAACTTGGCTGTGTCACTGCTGAGGGGACCGGCACTCGACTGGTGGCACATGCATCTAGACGAGGGAGGAGCCCCGGCAGGGAATCAATGGGCGGCAGATGGGGAGATAAATTCATCAACGACGAAGGCAGAACCAATCTTTGGACCGGCCACGATCTGCACGTGAAAAGCGTGGGGCGAAGCGTTGAAGGGCAGATTTGAGCACATATCCATGCGCGAAAATGCTCGCACAAAGCTTCGGATGTGGAGACAGTTGGGCTCTGTCCAAGAATACACGGCGTCGTTTATGGCAATCTGCGACCAAATCGGAGGGATTAGCGAAGACGAGAAAATCGATCGCTACGTGGGTGGTCTCAAGCCGGAGATTCAGCAAGAGATAATCCTGCGAGCCCCGACGACTTTCAACAAAATTGTTCGCATCGCGGACGCGTTGGACGCACGACATGGACTCGCAAAGCGGGTTTCCAGGAGGGAAATCGCTTTCGAGGCCAGCCCTAACACACATCAATCAACGGCGTGGACGCGTTTGCAGCCCGAGTATTTTTGGGGACTTGCTTCCAAGGCAATCAGCCGGGTCACATGGTGGGGGACTGCCCGCAGCTGAAGAAGAACTTACCTAACGACAAGAAGCAGTCGAGAAATGGAGATCGCCAGTAGCAGATGTGCCACCTACTGACTTGACTGCGTCGCCCAAACGCCACCACCCCCAGCAGGTTATAGTGCCGATTTGGGCTATCGACCATTCCTAGCTGAATAAGGGGGGTGAACCGGTTGATCACCCTATGCTGGTTGAAGGGAGAGTTGGCGACACCCGCATAAAAATATTCATTGATGGCCGGGTGAGCCACAGTTTGATGGACGTGACGAAGGCGAAAAAATTGCGACTGCAACTGGAGCGCTGCATGCCTGAAATCGACGCGAGATTGGTCGACGGCACACCCCTGGCAATTCGGGAGCGAGTGCCTCACGTTCGAGTAACCTGCGGCGAAAATTTCAGTTTCACGTCGAAGATGCTGGCGACGACTTTGGATGGCTGCGACATGCTCCTGGGACGAGATTGGCTACGCGAATACAACCCGAGCATTGACTGGAGGACGGACGATTGTCGCATAAAATGGAGTGGCGAGTGGCGACGACTACCCAAGTAGAGCTGTCAAGATTCGACCACGTCGACGGTCAGCACGGTGACGATCAAGCGAGCTATGATTTGAGGGGCGCAACTGTATGCCGTCCGATAGATCGCATCAACGGCTGTCGACACGCCAGCCGACATCGACAAACTTTGCGCAGCTCTCCCGGATGTATTAGCGATGGTGCTTCGAAAACACGCCGACATTTTTTCCAGACGACCTGCCTGCGGGTTTGCCACTTGAGCGCGACCACGACCACAAAATCGAGTTGGAGCCCGGCGCGCAACCGATTGTTCGGACTCAATGGCGGTTGACTCAGCCCGAGCTAGATGAACTTCGATGCCAGCTGGACTACCTGTTTGAGAAAGGTTTCGTTCGCCCTAGCACTTCCCCATTTGCAGCTCCGATCCTGTACACCCTGAAGAAAGATGGCGGTCTACGAATGTGTATTGACTACCGCGCCTTGAATCGGGTTACCATCAAGTCCCGCTACCCTATCCCGCGTGCCGACGAACTCATCGACCAACTTTGTGGAGCCAAGTTCTTTTCGAAAATTGACCTGCGAGGCAGTTACCATCAGATCCGCGTGAACGAAGCTGACTATTACAAGACGGCGTTTCGGACCCGGTACGAAAGTTATGAGTACACGGTTATGCCATTTGGCTTGACAAACGCGCCTTCAACGTTCCAGTTAGCCATGAACGATGTTTTTTGGCCGCTGCTGTATAAATGCGTTATTGTGTACCTCGACGACATCGTGATCTACAGCACTACCTGGGAATAGCATTTGAAGGATTTGGAAGCAGTTTTCTCTCTCCTGCAGCAGCACCGATTCATCACAAAGGGATCTAAGTGCGAGTTTCTCAAACATGAACTGGAGTTTTTGGGACACGTCATTTCCATCGATGGCGTTACAATCGACCAAAAACAATCGCGACAATCCAAGACTGGAAGCCGACGGCTAACCTCCATGAACTTCAGAGTTTTCTGGGGTTTGTGAATTACGTTCGTCGATTCATCCCGAACATGGCGGGGGTAACTTCCCCTCTCACGGATCTCCTGAAGAAAGGCAAGTTTTATGAGTGGGGGGGAGAGCAGTAGGCTGCGTTCGAACAGTTCAAACTTTTCCTGACTACACCTCTGGTTCTTCGAATTGCAGATCCTCACCGTCCGTTCGAGCTCATCACCGACGCTAGCGACCTGGCTGTTGGCGCATTACTGTTACAAGACTTCGACGAAGGCCTTCGACCCATCGCCTACGAGTCACGAAAGCTGAACTCGGCCGAGCGAAATTATCTTGTCCACGATCGGCGGAATCCAAATGGAGAGCAGGTTGAGACACGTTGCGAGAGGGAGAGACGCAACGAGAGTTGGAGAGGTGCGGGGTGAGAAGAAGAGATGCGGCGTGGAGGAGAGTGGCACGTCTAGATAGAGAGAGGCGGAGGTGCGAAGAGGGAGAGAGTGGCACAATGGGTGAGAGAGAGGCAGAGCAACACACACGAGAGAGAGGGGCGCTGTGAGAGTACGACCCCGTTCCATTCCTTTCTCCTTTCCATTTCATTCCTCTTTTTTATCTTGATTCATTTGGTCTTTCTCTCATTCCATTTGGATTCCTATTCCTTCTTTTCCATAAACCTTTGGTTTATCCTGTTATTATCCTTATATCACTGACCAGGCTCGGGATATACTGGTGCGCTATATCTAGCGTAATCCTGCCGTAATCCATTAAAGCCAATAGCCTCGCGTGGCTATATGCAGGGTGATTCTATCTTCTAGAAGGGTCTATTCCCTTGGGATAAGATAAACCTGGTTACCTGATGTACTTTGGAAGTATAAAAGCGCCTTGTATCAATCGATAGTGCAACCTTTCCTCGACACATTCGATTCAGTAACACTTGGTAATCAGAGCTTTTCTCACTCGACCGCGCTCAGCTAAGCAGCAGCAGCAGGGGATCCTGCCTCGAAAAACCGCCGGGGGCGACCAATTCGATGCCGATTCTGGTAAGCACCAGCTCCGCGTTTTTTCGAATCACCCCCTCCGTGCGTGTTTTGAACAGGATGGCGAACTTCGACAACGCCGAAGTTACCCAGCAGCTCTTCGCGCGCATCGCAGCCCTACAGGAGGAGATGCGAGCCGACCGCGAAGCTTGGCGAAACGAGTTTGAGCGAGTAACTTGACTCGCCGGCGTGCAACACAAAACGACAACGGCGACGACGCAGCAATCGCAGCAATTTCTCGAGGCTCCGAAACCGCGCCCACCTGAGCCTTTCGATCCGAGCGATCGAAACTCCGACGTCCGCAGATGGATCGCCGGCATGGAGATCTACTTCGCAGCCGTTGGATGGAGCTCGCCAGTCTGGGACGGTCAACGCGTACGATTCGCGACGACACTGATGCGAGGGCCGGCACTCGAGTGGATCGGCGGTAACAGCACCTTCATCCACGGCGAAGCCACGTGGCAGCAGTTCCGCACCGACCTGCTAAAACGTTTCGAGCCGATAAATTCGGGTTTCCTTGCCCGGGAAAAAATTCATCGCCATCGACAGTTCGGGAGTGTAGCACAGTACACACAGCAGATGGAGGAATTTTATAACCGCATTCCCGACCTGACCGAAGGGGAAAAAGTACAATCGTACCTCGCCGGGCTGAAGACCGAAGTCAAACGACAAGTGGGAGCGACAAACTACGCGAGCTACGGTGACGTCGTATCGGCCGCGGAACGCTTCGACATGGTCAACGCCGGGACACGACGGACGAACGTCGGCAGTACGCGACAGGGCGACCGCTCGGCTCACACCACGTTTGCCGACCAGATGGAAGTCGACAGGTTCGAAGGGCGGCCACGTCCGAAAAACACCAACTACACGTGTGATTTCTGCGGGGTGCCGGGTCATCGAATCTTCGACTGCAACAAAATGAAAGCCGCACGCGCTGAGTATCGAGCACGCAACAGTGGCGGAAATCCTTCGGCCAATCAGAAGCCAAGAGATGGAGCTCGCCAGTGATTGCGGATCTAGCTGGCGAAAAAGGAAAGATCCGAAAGCGGCCGCGGACTTCCGGAAAAATCAACTTCGACGCAGCTAATTCGACTCGAACATGAGAAAATGATGGGGACAAAACTCCACCCCACGACCAGTCTTTGCCAGAGGAAATCGCTGAGGAAAAATCTTACTCCGCGAAAAAGGACTCTGCCAAGACGGGGAAACTCCTTGAAGACCCAAGAAATTATAAGGATTCGTTAAAGTTATCTTACAAAGATGCT